ATGCCCCAGTTCACAGTCCACGATGTGATCCACAGGGTGGCCAACCAGATTCTTCAAATGCGTGGCCAAATAATTCATTTCCCTTCCCTGGAGGAACTTCCCCAAGTTGCAGCTGGGTTTCAGTTGCTGGCTGGATCAGCTGCTCTCAATAATGTTGTGGGGAGCATCGACGGCTGCCACATTAGAATAAAGCTCCTTCAAGAAAATGCACAGTGTTATTTTAACAGGAAATTGTTTTATTCTATTCAAATGCAGGCTGTGTGTAATCACCGTGGCTTATTTATTGATTTGTTTGTTGGCTACCCCGGATCTGTGCACGATTCTCGAGTGCTTAAAAACAGCCCCCTCTACGTCCACCGGCTCTATCCCCCAAATGGACACGTCCTCCTTGGGGATGGTGGCTAGCCTTGCCTCCGTCAGCCCATCACACTCCTCCCTCCATACAGAGAGCCTGTTTGGAGCCCAGTGGAAGCCCGCTTCAACCGGCACCATGCACGGGCACAATCTGTAACAGAAAGAGCGTTTGACATGATGAAGGCAAGATGGCAATCAATTTTTTTCAAGGCACTGGAAGTCCAACCCACCTTTGCAGTCCAGGTGACTGCCTGTTGCGCCATCCTGCACAACATCTGCATCAGCGATGGTGATCTCTAGAAGCCAGTGGAAGAGGAGCCAGGGCCTGATGATGAGCAGGACCAGCATCAGCAGCACCAGCATCAGCAGGACCAGCATCAGCAGCACCAGCCTGATCAGCAGTGTGGACAGGAGCTGCGTGGACGGATGGCAGCAGCACTTTCCACCCCAAGGGCCAGGCTACCAGCTCTTCGGGACCACGACTATTAATTAAATGTTTGAATAATCTGTGTTTTGGCCTATTTAAATAAAAACAAAAACAATTGAATATGTAAATATCTAAAAAGAAATTGTTGAATGTATGTATAGTTTTCTTTACAAATGTCTAGTTGATTAAATTTTTTTGTGTAAATAGTGTTCATCATTGTATGTCGATATGCATAGAGTTCAAACTACACTTATCAAAATACATTTTTATCTACTATTTACAACTTCTCAACAATTCATCCATGAGGGAGTACCACTTCCAAGATATGGCGATGGGCTCCCCTCCTTCTGTCCCTGTCCCTGTGCGTGGCTGTCTGAGCTCCTTAAAACAGTGAGTTTTGTATAATAAATGCTTCACAAATTAGCTTCAAAGAAACCTTGTAGGTCTTTTTCAGGTTCTCCCACTTCTTGGCCGCTCTGGCAGGGCTGATCAGGCGGCTCAGCCCCATTTCCTTTATTACTGCCCTAAAGTAACGATACATAAAAACATTTGAATATGAGTAGACGTTTTTTGAATAAGTATTTATTCATAATGGTCATACTCCCATCCAGCCGCCGAAGCAAATTTTTCACCCGCAGTCAGATGAGTCTCTCCACATCAGTGTCTGTCCCTTTAAAAAACATTAAACACACAATAAATGCTATACATATAACACAAGTGCTTTAATAACATTAATGACTGACCACCAGTGACCCGTTTCTGTAGCGTTCGCTTTAGATGTTAATGTTATGATATGCGAATATTCTAACACTTTCGCGGCATAACATTGGTACGTTGTTTTGCAGTAAAAGGCAATGGTATTCAAATGTGTATTTTGGCAGCTTATCGTCAACAATATATCACGGTTTACACATTTACATATTTATGATGATTAAAAACTCACATTTGTAGCTCATGTCCCGCTTCTCTTCCAACCCGTCTCTCTGTGCCTCCGCCATTTTACTTCCGTATAGTGACCACTGCTGCTCACTACATTTTCGAGATGCATTGTGGGAAAATTCCAGTGCACTACTTTTTCTCTCTGGACATTCGGACACCCCTACAAAATGGCGTGACCACTATATAGTGCACTATATAGGGTATAGTGTGGACATTCGGATACAGCCTTTGTGTTTTTTTTTAACTTAGTTTGACATCAGTTCTCTGGAGTCTGGTTTAAGTTTGACTTCCTGTCCTGTTCCACTGTCTAGATTGTCTGCCCCGCCCTCATGTGTTTCACCTGTGTGTCTCTGTGTTTATATGTAGTGCTCCTCTCTTCTTGTTGCTGGTCCATTGTCCTTGCTTTTCTTTGTCTGTCTAAGTTCCTGAGTTCTGTTTGGATTTTTTGCTTCATTTTTACCTTGGACTTTTAATTCATTCAATCATTATTTTTGCATTTTTCCCTCTTTTTGAGTTCTCCTTCACTTCACCACACGACAGCATGAAACCAAAAGCTGAAACGTGGATCGCTTTAGGGCCCAGCTGTGAAACCCCCGCAGTCCCTCAGATAACACCCACATAGAAGCGTGTCGTCGCGGCGTCTGTCTGCTCCGGGGGTCTTTGATGCTGCCCGCCCCTCACCTGTGCCCATTGCGATCAGCCGGGATGTGCGGGGGAGCGTGTGATTGTCCTACTCCAGGTCATGTGCGGCCCATCTCCTTCTTATCTGCTGGATGAGATTCTCTTTGGCCTTGTCTGTTTTGATGCTGCGCAAATGGTGACGGTGGAATCAGATTGGACAGTTGCGGTCGTAGTGTGAAATTGGGTGGTGATGACGCAATCAGGAAGATTCTTTATAGTTTGGACAATGACAACAACAAAAGTCAAAAAAAATTTTTTTTTTAAAGCCTGATTTCAAGTAGCAGTATGTAAGATTTTCAGGTCAAGTCATCATTAAAGGACTCTAATCTGTCCAAAGGCATTAATAAACCATGTTCTTTTCCAATACTTCTATAACTAATTACAGTAGTTCAGCCGAGATATTCAAATTTCAATATGACTTTTACAGCCCCTAAATCTTGTCATTGTTTTCATTCCGATGTCCCGTTCTCCACCGTACTACCAATCAGAAAGTCTGTGATCCGGGTTGCCAGAACTCACCGCGTCGAGCTGATATCACTGGTAAAGTAACATGTGACCGCAGAACTAAAAGGTCTCGTAAGGATTCTCAAATCATTAAAGGCAAAACAAGGAATAAAACCAGGATTTTGATCGGGGCATTTGTGAAAAAGGTGTTGGTTATAGATTTGTCGTTGACTAAACTCTTGTCTATACAGATTTCATGGTCCCAGCTGGATTAATCTGCATATCTGGTAACCTGAGTCACAGAGTGGGAGAGGTTGCAGTACCACTTTTGGCCATTTTTTTACATACTGCTCCTTTAAAGTTGCACTGTGTTATGCACCTCAAAGAGATTATTATATTTGCTTAATAGGCGAGTTCTACTATAAGTGGTTTTAATGCATAAGCCAATAGCTGCTTGTCAAATCCTCTTAAAATTAAGCTATAAGCAGTTTAGCGCCTGGTAACAGGGCTGTGATGGGAGACTACAGTGCCACAGCGGTTAGAGCTTGTGTTTCACAGCAGTAAGGTCCTGGGTTCGATTCGTCCTCCAGGACTTTCGGTGTCTGCATGTTCTCCCTGTGTCTGTGTAAGCTTCCTCTAGGGGACCACTAACATGCACAATAGGTGTGTGAATGTAATGATTGAATGAATGAATGGTATTGGTTGGTGGCTTTGATGCGTCTGTGTTCAAAGATTACTCACTTATCAGGGGTCACAGTGGGACAGTTAGTATGAGTGTTCTCAGTTTTGGCAAATAACTCCATCGCTGAGCACTTGACCTAAATAATCAGATACCATGCCAGTTTCCTACATGGTATCTTGAATTTGAAGATATACTTCAAATTAGTAACATCAGCAGCAGAAAACATTGCCAAATCAAAAATGCAGTGTGTAAACTTTGAGAATCTTATTTGTCTCCAGTAGGTTTGACTACTGAAATGGTCTGCTCACTGGTCTTACAAGCTGTAAAACAGAGAAATCTTGTGTATGGTGGCTTTTCAGAAAGTTGTATCTCCCACATTGTCTAGTATCCGTGTGATGGTTTGTGATGGTTGGAGCGACCTATGGAGCACATTGGTAGCCTTGCCTCTGTCCCAGGGCTGTGGTGGCTAAGGTAACAACGTACCACCACTGTGTGAATGGAGTGAATAAATGATGCAATGTGTATCTAAGAGTCTGAGTGTCTAAAAAGCGCCATCTGAAACCAATGCATTATTAATATTACAAGTGATTTCAATCTGGGGGCGACAGTGGCTCAGTTGGTAGAGTATTGGTCTTTGTACACCCATGTAGAGGCGAAGTTGTTGCCTTGATCGCCTCTTGGCTGCTAAGATTTTAAGGGTTTCCCAAACGCGCGTGTCCACAAACCACAGTTCAAATAATTTATTAGAGGTTTTCTTTATCGGCCCCTATGACCAGTAATCCAAATAAACATAACACATTCCTAATCGACACGGTAAGAAACTGTTTACCTCCAAACCTAGCAGCACTTGAGCCCTCTAATTCTGCCCTTTTTATAGGAGAATGATCTCAGGTCACGTAAAGCCCACAGCGCCACCTTGTGCCTAGGGAAAGGTACATTTTGGCTCTTACACACCGGCCCCTTAATGGTGTGTGCAGGAGTACAAAACAATTAAAAACAAACAAAAGGAGCCGAAAACAGAGAGCAAGTTAGCACAGTACACATCCTAAGCAGAACATATAACATGGGAGATGTACTCATTAACAAAGTTCCATAGTGCTTTTCCAATACCAACAGTCCAAATCAATACAGAATACAAATATACAATTTCCATCTTTTACGTTTGAACGTTTTCATGGGTTTCACATGCACAACAAAAATGGCATTTTCCATACTCCGCACAGAAAACATGTTCATTTTTACCACATTTTGTTCAAACAAATTAGCGCTCAGCTCGCATAAGATTTTAGTGCTCCGGGTTTGTACACTCCATTTTGGCTCCTACAACCCACGACCCATGTCATCTGCTCTCACTGAAGTCTGCTGTTGTGTCCCAACTTCAGAGCACGCACAGTCAAGGCAGGAAGTGTGTGTCCATAAAGTTCATATTTGCAGAAGAAGCATGTTCAAAATGCATTGCTTTTGTGTTTGCAGGATTAAAGACTGGGTGGAACAGATGCAGAAGGATCTCATCTCTTTGGCAGACGAGGCCACCGCTGGGAGAAGCCTCATTGAGGTAGTCATTTGAGCTATTTTATCTGTCAAGGGAAGTTCATAAATATTGTATACTGTGAAGTGTTTTACAGAACCAGAATATATAGACCAAAAGCTTGTGAGAAAAAAAAAAATCAATCCTATAGTTTAAAGGTCACTTGCTTATTTGTGTTATTCTCAATATTTACAGCTGCATGTATTATAGTTCCCTCTTTAATTACAACTGCAATACTGAATTACAAATTATCACCTCTTTATCACATATTTATTCTTAATTGACACAGCCAAACAGAACTCTAGATATAGATATACTGTATAGATATCTTTAGTCTTGACTCTCAGAGGACTGTATTAAAGTGTACATCAAAGGACTAGTAGTATTTTGCCGTTGCTGTCATTTTAATTGCTATCAGATTTGCATATATTTTACGTGTGCACAGCAGCTGGTTTTCATCTCAAAGTGAGAAAGCTAATGAAGAGGATGTATGAAAAAAATCTACAGCCAGAGCTGAAGCTATGTATATTAGACTTAAGCTCTGGCTGTAGAAAGCTCAATATCTAAGGCCATGTGTACAGTTGAAGGAAAGATTCCCTATGAACAATCACAGTATCAATATTGTGATGAATTTACTAGACTTCAGCTATAAACACGGTTTTTCATAACTTAAATGATGAAAAACAGTCTGGCCTTAAAAGTTCCAAGTGTGGAACATTAAAAATTATGTGAACTAGTCTTTCGAGCTCGGACATGCATTTTGGAATCTTCAACTTTGTATTGACCAAGAATCCTGAACAGTAACTAAACAGCTCATTTCCAGCCATATATAATTAGTCTAAAGCTTTCTCCTCACTCTGCAGATCTTCAACAGGAACAAGGGCTTGTACACGATAGAACAGAACGATGCGGACAAGTTGGTGGACCGCGCTGCCTGGAACATCGAGCAGCTGCTGAGGAAGAGGTCTGCAGCCCTGGAGGTAAGCCCTGGTCATAGTCCGTTCACCTGCATGGACAGATCGCTACCAGGACTCTTCATATGATTGTCATCTCCAGAGAAATCCCTTTCCACAAGATATGATCAGAGATGTACAGCTATAACCACACACCACCATACCATCTCTCTCTCGGCTTACTCTGCTCTATGCAACATGATTCTGCAATGTACCGAGAATGACGACTGGTGTGGAAAACATTGTGGGACTGATTTAGCTGTTGCCAATGAATTTGACTGATGGCGAGCCGTAAATTAGTCATAAAATGTTAGTTATAGGGTGATGAATCATTTAAGAGACGGCCTGAAAATCACAGCTTTTTCCATTAGAGGAATTATAGGCCACATGGTGCTAATCGCTGTGTGAACATTTCATTGGAGAGCGTTGAGTCTGTCAGCCTTTCTCACGAGACGTCTCATTCATTAAGGTTTTAGCCATTTATTTTTCAATACATATTTTTAAACTGGGATTTGTTGCTCTATGGGTTCAAAAGCGATGAGAAATTTGGACATTAATCACAAGACTAGGCCAAAGTTATGATGACATAATGAATGCTTGAGCTTTACTGCGTTACATTTTACTGGGAAGTTACTAAATGCATAGTTTAAAAGATGTTTGTAGATCATTTATATTGAAATCTTGACCAAGGTGTTGCTTTTTTTTGTACCCAAAGACCTTCAAGCAGAGGTAACTTTTTTGCTTACTTAACATTTTGTCCTACACAAACACAAATGCCTTTAACTACTAAGATTTGTGTTGAGAGGAAGAATGGTTCTCTTTTTCTAATGATGTGAAAGAAGCTAGAAATCATTAATTTGAAACCTAGTGATGGAACTAACCTTGCCTGCAAGCTGAATTCTCGCGGTATTTGTGAGTTCACAAACACTCAAGAATACATCTTGCCCCGCTCCCGCCAACCCTTTTCGAATAGAACATCTAGGTGTTCAAGCCAATCACGCGCCAGTCTGGGGGTTTAGGGCGGGATATCTGGGTTTGACGAAAGCAAGAAGTGCCGGGCCGAAGCAAAACAAACATGGCTACGCAGGAGGACGGACGCGTAGCTGAGGCTATCAAGTCAGTTTTAGCAGAATCTCCAATTTCTTTTTTGAAAGATGAACAGCAAGAGCCGCTTTGTGCATTTCTGGACGGCAAAGATGTTTGTGCATTTTTAGTAGGCGGGCACACAGCGTCACTTCGCCCAATCAGCTTGAAGTCTTCTGCTGCTTATCCCTCCTTTCCCCGAAAGGATTCTCCTGCAGAAGTCCCAGATTGATATGGTGGAGAACGCATTAGAGTTCTGCTCGAGTGAGGCACGAGTTAAATGGATTTAATTACATGTTAAAATTGTTATGGAACCTCTGATGTCTGCCTTTGATCATACGCCTATGACTCTGTTAGGGCTCGCCTGACATCATTATTGTCATTGTTTTGGGAGCATTTTTTGCACGTTTGTTATTTGTCAAGAACCGCAAAGCCAGATTTCAAATGCACTACATAATAACCATGGGTAGCATAGATTCTCATTATACATCAGACAAAATCATGGCAGGTCTTAAAGTTTTGGTGTCGGATTTGCTTCTATTTTTCAGAATAACAAGCTGAATGACCATGAACGTTCAGATTGAGGAGATAGATTCTTTGGCCAAACCGTTGTCAGGGGGATGAGAGCGCTGCCTCCCTCCTGAGCTGTGATTGGCTGTCTACTCTCACAACTAATCCCACCAGTCATCTAAAATTAATATTTAGACCCGAGAATACTAAATCGTAACATCATGCACAATTCTAAGCACCCCTCCAAATGGTGAATCCTTAAATGTAATCTTTGCCCTTCATTATTTGTGTCTGAAAGTCTCACATTATTTGACAGGAATTCTGACCCATTCCTCCTGAAAACTCTCATACAACATGAGGTTAGCAAAGCAGTAAATCCTTCGCTCTAAGTTTTCTGGCTTCTTAAACTTCCTGCAATTAAAAGTTTCGGTTTCTGCCATTCCGCCATCTGCGCAATAACTCAAATCTTACCAACTCCTTTTGGATCGCTCTGAATGTCAGGCCTCAAGTTGACAAGATACACATTTTGTGGAAGGAATAATGAACAGTGATTTGGATTCATTTGGAAGGTTTTTGAGTTGGAATTCTCAGCAGTCCTCCTCCAGACCAGACATTTTTTAGCCACGAGGATGCTTCCACACTGCCCATTTAACTTCACATTATGACAGTGTAGGCCGCACTTGGAGTATATCGTTCGTACGGTAATTTATTTTTGGAGAATGTGCATCGTTTGGGAGGTGAAAGTGAATGCATTAAATTGTTAGAGCAGAGATGTCAATTGGTCGTTTTGGTAGATTTAAGCTTTGACGTTTGCACTATGGATAATAAATGTGTATATGTCTATCTATCTGAATTATTTGTTAGCGATGTAATCAAGTGGGCCCAATTGTTTATCACTGGCTTATCTATGAAAAATATATGTTATACAGTGTACCGTATTCTTAAAGGCGTAACACGCTTCTGCCTCCTCTCCAAAGTCTCTATCGTTTTATTCATGGATCATTTTTTAGCTCATCTTTTCCATCTGGTTATACGGTATTTAGTTTACAATGTGCGCTAGTGGCCATACCCGGATGTGAAAACCAGATCCCGTCAGTCCTCTGAAGCTAAGCAGGGCAAAACTTGGTTAGTACTGTGATGGGAGACCTCTGGGAACACCATGTGCCAGTAGGGAGGCTGCGGCTGTAAAGTGCCAAAGTGTCATTCTGTCCTTAGGCAAAATACTTCACCCACATTGCCTAGATTGAGTCTTGGTGTGTGTGAATGGTTGGTGGTGGTTGGAGGGGCCGATGGCATGCACTGGTTGCCTTTCTTCTGTCAGTGTGTCCCAGGGCAGTTGTGGCAACAGTTGTAGTTGTATACCATTGTGAATGTAGTGAAAGAATAATGACATGTGAAGCATTTTTATGGGTCCAAAAGAAAGCTCTATATGAAACCGATGCATCAACAACTGATAATTTTTTTATTACATGTTTTATTCTATGTTCAGGACATTTTACATTGCAGTAACAATGCGTCACAATCTATTAACTCGTTTTATTTCCTTCTATTTATTCAGTGTGATTTTGCAATAAAGAGTTTTTCCATTTCAATAACGTCAAAACTAGTGTACCAGATTTTGCAGGGAAATTTACACAAAACGGTTTCAACCACTTTCATCTCATCTCCATAGCATTTTCCCTTTTTATTCACGATATTTTTTTCTACCCCTTTGAATAAAAAAAGTAATTATCATTCATTTGGACACACAGTTCCTTGAATAGAATCTTGCCTTTTCTCTGGACTGGACTTGTTCATGTGAGCGGAAATCCTGAATACATCCTTTCTACTACACTATTGATGCCAGAGCAGAAATGGGTCACACCGCCGCCTCATTATGAGAACAGGGAGATCTTTTATGCATGTGGTAGTCTTATTAGTAATGGGGAATATCAGTGCACACATGTTTACGGGGACATGGGAGGCCTTGTGTACGTGAATATAATATCAGTGTGTTTGCATGCGCCTGTGTATCCCAGTTATTAGAAGGCCATCTCGGTTGTAACAAAAGGGATAATATTATGTTTAAAATGCACACAGAAGCCAAGAGACATGTGGCCTTCCCAAATACTCTGAGTAATGTAGAAAATATAATGCACTTTGCAACATTATGTTTGCAACGTTTTTGTTTTTTTGATCCATGAATCATTTCATTTTCTTTTCTATAAATGTAATGTCCATCAATTAGAATGGCGGAGCAGGTTTATCTGTATAGCACAATGCATACACAAGGAAACTCGTACTTTACAAATTGTTAACGTTATTAATATTAAAATTGTTTCCATAATTTTATAGACATTTTCTTATACTTCTTGTTTTAAGGCATGGCATAACAAGAATGTCAACGCCATTTCAATAGGTTTGTGTGGAGAATATTGGTTGCTGCATGATTAGAAACTTAAACCTGGTCGAGGCATGATACAATGATCTTTATTGACATGTGTAGTTATAGTTTGGCACTTACTGTAGATCCCATCAAGAGAGACGGGGGATAGAATATGAAACAATGTCCCACTGCTGAAGAGGTGATGGGGGAGGAGGAGGGTCGCTGTATGAGCTAAAAGGCCTTATGTAAAGCAAATACTGATCAGCAGACACAGGTGCGGAGAAGTATAGGAGTGGGAGGAATACAATGAAGAGTCGGGATGGTGCCACAGAGACAGTCTTCTACTCTTTACCTTTAACTATATACCTCCATAATGTATATGGAGACACTATACCTGCAGATGGTTGTTCATTTAATTATAAGATTAGAGATTAGGCAAAAGAACGATCCCACACGTCCTCTTGTTGAGACGCAGCTGTCAGTGTCTGTTCGTCCATGCGCACACGGTGGCTATTGCTATTAGAGGCTTTAGGAAGCAGTGGCAGAACTGGCCGGACATGTGTCTGAGTGAGGGACACCTGTGACACACCTTTCCCGGAGCAGACGCACACTGTGGTTGTTCCATGGTTACCTTAGTGTTTATGACAAGGATATAGTATGTTTTAGAGCTCAGAGAAGACTTCCAGACATGATAACTTTTCAAATTTACCAAGAACTCATCCCTATTATCCACAGTTTCCATTTCATCAGTGAAACTTCTTTCCCTGAAAGTCGTTTTACCTATATTTAACATAAAGTGGGGGTTTAAAATAACCCAGACATTCATGATTTACATTGTGATTCAGTAGAAGCAGATTAACGATATTTGTTTTGTTTGTAAAGCATGATAGTTTACGGTGGTACAGCGGTTTCTCAAAAAGTCCTGGGTTCGATTCCACTTCAAAGCCTTTCTGTGTGGAGTTTGCATGTTCTCCCTGTGTCTGCGTAGGTTTCTTCCGGGTGCTCTGGTTTCCCTTACCAGTAAAAACATGCACAAAAGATCAGAATCAGAATCAGAATCATTTTTATTGCCACGTGAGTAACAAAGTTATCACTTGGAAATTGTCTTGGCAGAGAGCGTGCCACTTCGCCA